TGTAGTATGACATATGCAGGATATATACATACATTTCACGGGTTCTTCATTTTTCTGACTGTGTAAATGTCGTGCATTGAATTTAACAGAAATGTAACGAGAGACGTTATTTATCTTTGACCCATCAAAATGAATGCGGTCATTTATTTGCAGAATCAAAGTTTAACATCAAACATTTACATTAATTTGGCAAAATATGAAAACAATAACATGGCTAGTTTCACAGGAAGTGGTAACAATACGGTGATTGTCCTCACTTTTCAGCAGAAACAGACATCAATCACACGGCGGTGATTGAGAAACTTTGCTCCAGACATTTCTAAAAATATCTGTGATGATTTTAGGAGAAAGGAGAGTTTAAAGATGGAAAATGGAGATTTATCTTACAGAGAGATGTGTGAGGGAATTTATCTGTTTGGCCAGAACGGGCACGCTCCTTCAGATCTCAGCTTGGCCAACGGTACACTTTTGGTGAAGGTCGACTTTACCTTCCTGAAGATAGATCAGTTCGGCGTGAAGTCCTACTTCCAGCCACTTCCAGCGTCTCCGTTGAGAACAGCTAAAATACCTCGAGAGTCATGCGAGGTTATCCAAACAGAAGTTATAATTCCCAAAATCGTCCCTGCATTCTGGATTCAAGAACTCTGAACTCCTTCAGAGCTCTACTCCTTTAAGTTCTTTTCATCTCGTCGCGTCTCTCTTCGACCGAGACTCGACACAGACATCAGACCTTTTTTTGACACTTCTCCATGAGCTGCATCCGAGACTGTTGAACTGGGAAGTTGCCACATTTAAATGGGTCGACTTCCGGTTCATTTGAGAGCTTTCTAATTGGTGGATGGACCAGAACAGAGGTGTGGTTTGTGATGTAAGGTGTTATGAAAATTCAAGGATAGAGATTAAGATTGTTTAAAACAGACAGAAAGATTATTGGAGAAAACCAGACTTCGTGGAGTCAAACTCTCCTGTATCTTCTGTAAAAGTTAAACATGACATTTCTTTTCAGTAAACTTTTTAGTTGACCGAAACCTGAACTTTAACACACTTACAAACTTGCTCATTGAAGACAGAAAAATCAAGAAATGCATATTACCCTGATTTCTTCTTTGAATGAGGAATAAAAATCATTACTTACTGTTTATGTAAATAAAAATGAGTAGTTCTCTTCAACCTGTAAACATTGTTTGAACTAACACAATTTGATTATCAAAACATTTGTAAAATAGTAATGATCATAGAGAATTGTCTTTTCTACTTGATTAATTCAAGAAAGAAAGTCTCCGGATGGGTCAAACTGTATTTCTGGATGCAGATCAATGAAATAACAGTTTCTGTCCATCTGGTCAGATTTGACATCAGGTTAGGTTCACTACAGTACTATATCAGAAAATCTGTTTATGGTCTGATTGCTGGGGTTTGAGTGGAAGATGAGCAACTAAATTAAAATGGAAACATGTCTAATGTGGTGGTGCAGTTGGTAGAACTGCTGCCTCTCAGCAAAAAGGTTGCCGGATTGAATCCCAACCCGGGGCCTTTCTGGGTGGAGTTTGCATGTTCTCTCCGTGCATGCGTGGGTTTTCTCCGGGTACTCCGGTTTCCTCCCACAGACCAAAAACATGCATGTTAGGCTGATTGGTAACTCTAAATTGTCCCTAGGTGTGAGTGAGAGAGTGAATGGTTGTTTGTCTCTATGTGTCCCCGGAATGGACTGGAGACCTGTCCAGGGTGTCCCCCGCCTCTCGCACAGTGACTGCTGGATATGGGCACCAGTGACTCCTGCAACCCGAAAAGGAAGAAGCGGGTAAAGAAAATGGATGGATGGACTTGTCTAATGTGCGCCACATGCACTTTAAACTCAGTCAAGTGAAACACTCATCTCTAAAATGTTTCTGGAGTGGTTTGACATGATAAAGACACATCGAAGCTTAATTTATACAAAGATGTTATAAACCTGCCCCATGTATAATCACATGGTTATGCTGTGTGTGTGTGTGTGTTTGTGAGTGTGTGTGTTTCTGGTGTCAACCGAATAGTTCAATTTTTCTGTCACATCAGCAAAGAAAAATAAAATAAATCATCCAGATGACCTGACTAAACATTGATGGATTTGTACCTGGATTACTGAGCATGAACTTTGGTGTTTTGAACCACTTTGGCATGATTGCCTTAGAGGAGTTGACAGAGGAGAGAGTGGGCCCCAGAAACCATCTTATCACCAGCAAACTGTTGTTTTTTTTCCCACTATGGGAGTTGGTGCTTGTGGGACTCGTTTGTTTGTGGATCCTTGGACTGAAGAAGTCCTTTGGATGAAGGACAAAACGTCTCGGCATGAACAGAAACCATCCAGATGACCTGACTGAACATTGATGGATGTGTGCCTGGATTATTGAGCATGAACTTTGGTGTCACATCAACTTGTATGTAAAATATTAAACCTTTCACTGAGGGAAGTCTTAATAGATTTTTAAATGAAAATTGGGAGTGTTTGTTCAATCTGGCTTTATTGTAAATTGTTTTTTTCATACACAGGTATAGACTTCAGCAGAGATGGGTGCTATATGGCCTTGGCTGAACGTCGTGACTGCAAAGACTATATTAGTATATTTGTTTGTGATGACTGGCATTTACTCAGGGTAAGTTAATTTCTTTTCCCTTTAATTATTTTTTTAATATACAGTATTTAAATGAGCTAATGTTGAAGAAAGAAAAAGATAAACAAAGGTAAAAAGAAAAATTTGACACATCTTGTTCCAGTTCCTTAAATAGATTCTTTGGATGTTTAGAAAAGGGGTTCTGTGGAGTTATTTGTTGCCAGTATCAACCACTGTAAAACCTTTATCAACTGGTAAAATCAGAGAGAAGTTCACATGCAAGAGTTAAACTACCATCTGAAACACTCTAAAGTTTTAAGCAAATGTTTTAAAAAATATTTACAGTGTCACTTTTCCATCAAATGGTTATGGATGGAAATTCACCAGATTATCTGAAGGACCTTCTTGCTCCATATTCATCCACCCGGTCCCTACAATCACAGAACAGTCATCTCCTCCACCTTCCACAAACTAAATTAAGGACCATGGGAGATCGGGCATTCTGTGTGGTTGCCCCCCGCCTCTGGAACTCCCTCCCTGAATATCTGAGAGCTCCACACTCATTGACTGACTTTAAAAAAGGCTTAAAGACTTTTCTTTTTAAGCAAGCCTATTCTGCCAACACATGATTGTATCACTGATTTTAGTTGATTGTATCATTGATTTTAGTTGATTGTATCGTTGATTTTAGTTGATTGTATCATTGATTTTAGTTGATTGTATCATTGTTTTTAGTTGATTTTATCACTGATTTTAGTTGATTTTATCTTTGACTTTAGTTGATTTTATCACAGATTTTAGTTGATTTTATCACTGATTTTAGTTGATTGTATCATTGTTTTTAATTGATTTTATCACAGATTTTAGTTGATTTTATCACAGATTTTAGTTGATTTTGTCATTGATTTTATCACAGATTTTAGTTGATTTTATCACAGATTTTAGTTGATTTTATCATTGATTTTAGTTGATTTTAGTTGATTTTATCTTTAACTTTAGATGATTTTATTACAGATTTTAGTTGATTTTGTCATTGATTTTATCACTGATTTTAGTTGATTTTATCACAGTTTTTAGTTGATTTTATCACTGATTTTAGTTGATTGTATCATTGTTTTTAGTTGATTTTATCACAGATTTTAGTTGATTTTATCTTTGACTTTAGTTGATTTTATCACAGATTTTAGTAGATTTTGTCATTGATTTTATCACTGATTTTAGATTTTATCACAGATTTTAGTTGATTTTATCGTTGATTTTAGTTGCACTCTGTAGCACTTTGAGATTTTTGTTAATGAAAAGTGCGTTACAAATTAATTTCATTATTATTATTATTATTATTATTATTATTATGTATGTGATTTATTTGGACTTAAAATCTCGTTTTATTTCACAGCATTTTGAGACTGAAACGCAGGACCTCGCAGGACTGGAGTGGTCTCCCAACGGCTGTGTGCTGGCAGTGTGGGACAGCTGTCTAGAGGTTAGCCAACAATAAGCGTTTACCAGCTGAAGACACAATCACTATTTCTTTCCTTTAGAAGAATATGAACTTCACGCTCAATCTAATCTCACTTTAACACCAAAAGTTATGATGCAAAAAATATGCTTTGTGAAATCTGTGCATTTTTTTTTACATTCACCTGAATGACAAATCTTTCTTTTTGACTCTTATTTTTATTGAATATCACGAGTACTGGAAGTCAAATGTATCATACATGTCAGCAGAAATACAACATAAAAAACAAGTTTAATAAACTATATTTTGTAGAATTACCTTAATAGTTTAGATTTAAATGCATTTTTGGTGTGTACAAATATGACATTTTGCGTAATAAAAATGTGTAATGTATGTTAGCAAAGATACGAGATAAATACAACAACTTATTGATCTGCTCAGGGAAAATGTCCAAGTTTCACAATAACAGGTGTTTGATAAAACATGAAATCAATGTGCTGGTTAAAGTGTAAAGGGGGTCATGTGTGGGTTGGAAAAAAAATACTGTTTTTGTGTGATTCCAAATGCTGAGAGAGATTTGCAATATCAGAGCAACCTTTTAAGGATATACTTGAAAACAAATGTTTTAGCACCAGCTACAGTATCTTTGTTTAATAAATGTGTATCTTCTCCTCAGTACAAGGTTTTGCTGTACTCTCTGGATGGCCGGCTGCTGTCAACCTACAGTGCTTATGAGTGGTCACTGGGTGTGAAGACTGTGTCCTGGAGCCCCAGCAGCCAGTTCCTGGCTATTGGCAGCTATGATGAGAAAGTATTAAATACTTAAGTCTTATACAGTATATTAGTTTTTCGTTTGTTAAATATGAGCATCAGTTTTCATAATAATGCAAACTAAACTATAGGTTTTCACATCTTCATGTCAGGTGCGTATTCTTAACCATATTACATGGAGGAAAATTGTCCAGTTTGAACACCCTGCAACCATAGACAACACAAAAGCTGTGAGTAATTCTCAGCCCTCACGGTGAAGCTCAAATGTTTTGTAACGTCACAGTTTAACTCTTTTGCTGTTCAGACTGTGTATAAGGAAGTGGAAAGACGGCCGGCTGTGCCCAGTGATGAACTGTCGCTGCACGACATTACAATGGGCTCTACGCTTTTCAACACCCAGAGCAAATGTATGCCGCCAGTTTTTGTTTTGAAATCAGTATTTACCTGACCTCTTGAGGCAAGTAACCTTGTTTTTCTGTTGCTGAACTTCTTCATCTAGATGAGATCGCTGCTCTGCCTGTTCAAGTTCCTGTGGTCAAACCAGAACCAGACAGAGCTAATCCCAAGATAGGCGTCTGTGTTTTAGCATTCAGCTCAGACAGTCACTATCTCGCTACCAAAAATGGTAAATATTAAATGTTTTTAGTTTTATGGTGGATTTTCACACCTGTATAAAATACATTTATAGCATCTACATTGTTAGTCGTAAACATTAACTTTTGTGTTAACTGGTTTTAGTGCAAGATTTAACAGTTTTTAAAGTCTGAATAACGTTGAACATGCTTTTCTGTCACTGTAGACAGCATGGCCACTGCTGTGTGGGTGTGGAACATGCAGAAGATGAGCTTGGAGGCTGTGCTGGAGCAGACCTCAGCTGTACGCTGCTTTCAGTGGGACCCCCGGCGCCCCCGGCTGGCTCTGTGCACGGGCAACAGCAAACTCTACCTCTGGTCCCCGGGAGGGTGTGTTTCTGTTCAAGTCCCAGCTGAAGGTATATGGTCAAACTTGAGTGATAATAATAGTTATTAGTTTTAATCATTTCATGCAGAACAAAGGAATCCTGGGCAGACTGAATGTTTCTGGTGGTTGTGCTTGATGTCATATCATAAATAGCATCTCAATCCATTAATGTATGGAGCTGATGTGCTCGTGTCTGTGCACTTTATTCACATTGTGCTCATGTTCATGTGTTCTAGAATTGCGCCGCTCAAGGTGGCTGCATGTTGGAGCAGCTCTGTTACATTCATTTTGAGATTTTGCTTTTGGAAACTTTATTTCCTCTTTTTCTGGATATAAATCACATTTTTTGGATGGTTGTTTCCTCTGGTATCAGATGCTATGCAGCTGGAAGGATTTTTACTGAAACTTTTTTAGTTTTGGACATTTGTTATGATGCGTAACTATGGCAACAAGGCTGTTTTCTACAACCAACAGCAGCTGATTAACATCTCAAAAGCTCAAATAATATCTCAACTACAGCCCCAAATCTCAAGTGAGTTGAAAAGGATGTTCTGTGGACGCATTCTCATCTACCTGCCAGCTGTGCTCGAGTGCCTGACCACTGAGATCCTGGAACTAGCAGGAAACACGGCTCGTAACAGCGGAAGGACAGAATCGTCCCTCGGCACCTACAGTTGGCTGTCCGCAGTGACAAGGAGCTTGGCAGACTGCTGGGAGGAGTGGCCATTGCTCTGGGAGGAGTTCTGCCCAGCATTCAGGCGGTCCTACAGCCCGAGCGGAACCGAGAGGCCAGCCAAGTCTGGGTGGACAGATCAGACAGCATCTGCATCCAGTTTCTTAGGATCCACTGTGGAATGGACCTTTACAAGAGATCCTTCCTGTCTACAGCATCAGCATCTGTAACATCTCTTAATGAAATGAGGATAATGAGTTACAACAACAAATAATTTCCCTCTGGGATTAATAAAGTATTTTTGAATTGAATTGAATGTGGAAATGCACATTTTTCCGTTTGTTCCACATACAGAATGTTGCCTATTTTAACTTGATTCATGTGCAGATGCTATAATGTTCATTGTGCCCACTACATCCACGTCTCCAGCAGTTCTATTTAACCTCTATACATTTTTGATTTCTCCTTTAACATATTTTTGCACTTTTTGCCCCACTCCCCTCAGGCAGAAGGTTGTGGAGCGTTAAGTGTAGACTGAGGAACAGCTTCTACCCTGAAGCTGTTAACACTCATAAATCTCTAACCACTGTGAAAAAAACTCACTGTAACGCCACTTTGATTGGCGATATGTGCTGCTGATTATCCATGCTGCTGATCTCCTGTTGTATTCATTTGTACCCATCTGCTCACACTCATGCTCGTGCTGTTGTATTGTTTTGCATTATTAGTGTTTAGTGTATATCTTAGATTCTTATTTACCGTTTCTTTTTACACTTTATATTTTTGCTATTGTTGGATTTAACTGGGACCCTGTGTACACAATTTTGTTCCTCCTTATGGTGGAATGACAATAAAATGTACTTGAACTATTTGTGTGTAAGCACTGTGATCAGTTGTCCTTGTTTTTCTCTCACCAGATGGTTTTCAAGTCCAGTCTCTGATGTGGCACTGCAGTGGAGACTCCCTGATCCTGTTTGGAAAGGAGCACCTTTGTTTGTGCTACATGGATACTGATCAGGAAGAAAAATAAAATGTGCAACTCTTATTCCAAGAGACTTTTGGTCATAGTCCAGGTTTATGAAGGCTTCCATTTGGGCTTAAATGAAGACCAGTAGAAACACTCCTGAAAATCTTTTATGTTGGATTGTAGCTACTCACCAAGCTTTGTGCCTCCAGAGTGGGATGATCCGTCTCAAAATGTAGAAAACTTGACATTCCTACTAAGAAAGTTTGATCAATATTTCTTAATAGGTACTGAAGAACACTGTGAGGTTTACAGAATTTGTAACGTCGTTGTAGTTTTAGTCTATACTTTTTTTGTACTTTTTATGAAATGTTGTGATTATGAATAAAATTGTTGCATAAATAACGCTCCGTTATTTAAGTGTTCTTTAATCTAAATCTTCAAGTCAATGAAAACTCTGTATTTTACCGTAGTTACTAAACTCAGAAGCGTGACTTGATGTTTAAAAAAAAAAGTTACAAAAACACGAGGCTTTTTCAAGTTCAAGTAAGCATTTATTATTTTCCACCGAGGCTGCTGTGCTGTAAAAATTAAGAGCAGACATTAAGTTTTTAGACATTTCTAAAGACCCCTGACTTGGCCGTTAAATCATTTTGAATAAGCTTTTGTGCATTCATTTTATCAAAATAAGTGCAGATAAATAATCACTATTTACAACTAAACACAAGATGTTTTTTTTTACAAAAAAGAAAAAGAAAACATCTGGCATGCAAATTCATGTGAAGAACATGCAAATATTAAAAAAAAAACATTGTGCTGTGGGACTTTTTGGTTTTGCTTTGTGTTGCATGGCATCAAGCTTTGTAACTTTTGGTTGGACAGTGATGTCCAACGCTCCCGTCCTGTCTGTAAGCTTATGGAATGTAAAGTCACTTATTTCTGCACAGTTGCATTAATTTTTCACCAAGATCTTCTGGGGTATCAGACCATTACGTAATGGAGGAAATCGTCAAACAAAACGACATGGTTTACAAATTACCACTATAAAGAACATGTTTATAGTCTTTGTCTTGAGCCAAGCCCAATTTTTTAAATTCTCTTTGCTTATTATGAGCCGGGCTTTCCACTAAGGTCTCAAGCATTGCATCTGCATGCTTTGGAAAAGTCTTGCAAAGTTTTTCTTTGGATATTTTATGTTTTTTACTTATTACAGTTAAAAAAAAAACATTCTTTAAAAATGATGAAGCCACTTTAACACTGACCCAGTGAATCTTTCAGGTTTAAAAAGTTCCTACAATCAAGGAATGACTAGTTTTTGTCTAGACAACATGGTAAAGAACTTCTTTTAACCCATGTTGCATTTTTAGCACTTTTGTTTCTCATGAGAATATAGTTAATGAATTAACTGTAGGATAATACATCTATTAGTTTATGTCAGGCCTTTACTGGGATTTGTCCTGATAAAAACTTTACTTTGCATCTTCTGATAAATGGTGTTTTAGTGCCGCCTACCACTTTTTAGGAACACAACAGTCCTTTGAAAATCACTTGCAGTAAGTTTTATTCAAACCTGTAAAATTATCCTGGCTTTCCTTCCCCTGATGAACTAAAAGACATGAGAATAAATAGTGTCTTTGCAACTTAGTAAAGTACTGCAAGACACGGTATAATACTGTGTAATGTGTGAAACCACGCTGGACTTTTACAGAAGTTTCACAACTTTTTCATGCTTGCAAGATTGACGGTCGGTGTTAAGGGACCAAAATGAACTAAAAAGCAGCAATTTGTCTAGAAAAAGTGAAAGTTCTTCGTAAAACCTGGAGAAGAAAAAAGTTCTAGACCACATTAAAAGATTACGAGAAAAGCTGGCTCACTGGAAGCAAAGTATAAAGAAATGATGAGGTAATTCAAGACTTGCACAGCTCCGTCAGCAGCTAGTGCTCCCTTTAACAAGCAAAGATAAATATGAACAAAGTCAACAAACCATGGGTTGAATATGAAACTTGTTTCCTCTGCACAAGTTCCACTGATGCTGAAAATGAATCCTCTGTACTCGTGATGATTACTTCATCTGTTGATCCCCTCTAGAGACTAACAGAGGAATAATGCAATCATTCATTTCAAATATTATGTAAGAACTGTGAAGCACAATTATATCTAATGTGGTGAAATCACTTTTTTTTTCTGGCTGAGCTTTTTGGCCTTTTTTTCCTTCCAACAACAAAGAAATGATTTTGTTACTCAAGCTCCAAATGTCACATAATCTTTGTAAATCTAAAGTTAGTTTATCTCCAACTTACTTTGCACGACTATTCTGTATAAGGTGTAGTGTTTGTGGCACATCTGTTTGCAGCTGGAAAGCAACTGAGGGCACAATGAGACAAACGAGTCAACAGTTCGTACAGCGCTGCCCACCTTTTACCTGTCGGGGACACGAACGTTAGGAGGAGGCACGGACAAGTCATGTAGTTTTCCTTTAAGCAGCGCGGCTGTGTTAACATGGCCTTATCTCTAAAGGAAAACAATTCAGAAGCCGATTTTGCCACGCGTCATGGAGTAGCCCAGCTTTGCTTCATTGTTGATGAAAGACATAATTCCCAGATAGGTCTCGATGAGCAGGGGTCTTTCCAGGATCAGGACACCGTTGGCACGACCGGGGATGGGCTGCTCCTTGTGGGCTTTTTTCACTGCCTGCACCAGTTGGGTTCTGAAGTTGTCCAACTTGGGAAGAAGGAAGAAAATAAAAGCAAAATAAAAAGAGCTCTTTATACACCTATTAAAAATTATATTGTATGCATCTTTATAAAACGAGTACCATATTTTCTGCCTCATAAGTTGCTATTTTTTGCATAGATTTGCCAGTCCTGCGACTTATACGCCAAAGTGACTTATTTATGTTTTTTTCCACTTTATGAGACATTTTTGGACTGATGCAACTTACACGCTAGAAACGTATACGGCGGAAAATACGGTAGAGTTAACAGGCAAATCTGAAAGAAAATATTTTCCCAGTAATTTCACTAAATGTCTATAAGAAAAAGAACAGAACTCTGAGCTATTTACCCACAAATGCATAAAAACCACAAATTAAAGGTGCATGAATAACTATCTTTGTTTCAAAGGAGGACTTCCACAATAAAAACAGCACTCCATTGTTTCCAGTTGGCTCGTGACTGCTTGAGCTGTTACTGCATGAAAGAACTGCTGCACCAATGGTGCTCATTGTCTCTCTGCTTGTAATTCAAGCTCAAGTTACTGTAGAGATGTGTGTACGCACATTTAGTCAAAGACATCCTACCTGGCAGAGAGAGGCCACCTTCTCATCAGCGTGGGACATGGGATGCTCGGTGAAGGTGGCGTAGGGCATGTCTGTGGACCAGGGATTCCAGCGGTTTAAGAAGGAAGCCCGGGGGCGTTTGTCCCACTGGACACGAATCCCATAACCCTCTCTCCTGCAAAACAACAGAGCAGTTTCATTTTCGAGGAAGTTGTTAAATCCTTGATCATCTCAAAAGAAATTTAAATTGCGTATTCTTTATTTTATTGCTTACGTTCCCTTTTTTTCCCCATTTTGTTTAAATAGATAATTATAAAACAATTAACATAAAAAGAAAAAAACCTAACATGGAAAATAATATGAATTTATTGGTTTCAAACTGAGACTCCACACCAGAGCAGCACATTGAAAATGACTCTTGATCCTTGGATATTCCACCGATCAGCTTCAGCATTATGACCACTGACAGAACGTAAAACAGAGTAACGCTCTGAGACGCACACTTGGCCTTTAAACATGACGAATAATCTGACTAAATCTGATTGCATCAAGTCAAAAACACAAATTCACCGCCATATAATCCGCAGAACTTCAAAGGCGTAATCTTCCCTAGGCCTGTCACGATAACAAATTTTGCTGGGCGATTAATCGTCTCAGAAATTATTGCGATAAATTATAATATTGTTTGAAATTTGACAATAATTAGTAATTCATGTCAAATTTAAGAAGAAATGTTGGTTAATTTGTTTAGCATGTAGTACCTGTTTTCAACCACCGGACGGCAGTATAAACCTGTTTGAACCGAAGGATGGATAGTGAGGGAGCGAGCAGCGTGTCTCTAAGAAAAATGGGAAGGAGGCCCCTTGACGTGACATGGGCTGTCGCTCCTTCCTTTATTTGGTTCTCAAAATGGCGGTCGCTCTGTGGTTTGAGCTCTTTAACATAGCATTTTTCACACAAAACTTTTAATAAAAAAAAAAAAAATCAATAAACAAGTTTGCAGCTTCTTTTTGCAGAAAAAAAACAACTTTTTACACGAGAGCACAGGTTTCAACCAGGAATTTTGGAGCTTCGACAAGACGGAGGTTTTTTCCCTGAGTTCGGCCTGTTAGCTTAGCTCGTAGCTTAGCTTCTCAGCTTAGCTGCTTTTGACGATTCAAAAACGCGATTTTGGACGGTTAAAATGGATTTTAAAGAGAAAAGCGAAAGGGAGCACCAGGTGAGCCTTTTGTCATCCAGTGACTTCAATAGAAAGAGAGACATGAAGAAACAATAAAGCCAATAAATGAAAATGAGGTCGATAATTTTCATTTATCATGTGATTAATTGATTTATTGTTTATTGCGACAGGCCTAATCTTCCCAACAAAGAAGACCTAGTCAACATCAAGCTGGTGTTCACAGTGTTGGGACAGACTTGTTTAATATCATTGCTATAAATAATAAATTGCCACTGAAACTCTTAAAACACTTTGACCTACTTGTTAAGGGACTTTGGTGGAAATTCAAACTCTCCCACAGAGATGGTGTCTACAGCGTTCAGGGAGATCCTGAGAACTTGTTGACACAGCAGGTTAATGAAGTCATATTTGCACACCAGCAGAGACCTGCACACAAAACCAATTAACATAAAGTGTCATAAATGGTAAACGATAAACGGACTGTACTTGTATAGCACCTTTCAACCATATCAAGACATTCAAAGTGCTTTACAACACAATCTGTGCCCTCATTCACCCATTCATTCAGCACTCTACTAGATCTCTACAAAGAATAATCAGTGCTTTATCACAGTCATACACCGATGGGACACACATCAGAGGCAATGAGGGGTTCAGTGTCTTGCCCAGGGACACTTCGGCATGTGACTGCTGATGGACTCGAACCCCCAGCTCTTGCCTTAAAGCAGGGGTGTCAAACTCATTTACAAAAGGGGGCCAAAATTAAACCCTGTTTCAAACTAAGGGCCAATTTCATCATCTACATTAACTCAAATTAGATACCCAGTGTCTTTTCTTGGTCACAGGTTCCTCTACAAGAGTTTGATTGGTCTCATTTGATGTTTGCTGTTGTGCTTCTGACATCATAATCAAAGATTACTGAAAAAAATTCAAGTGAGAGAAGTATTTTACATTTCACGTATCATCTTGAGGGCCAGATATGATGTCAACGAGGGCCACATTTGGCCCTCGGGCCTTGAGTTTGACACATATGCCTTAAAGGATGACTAACCACTCAGCGCATCATAAAAATGGTTTATGTCCTCAGTTACTCACCTATCAGTTATAAGCACAAGTCTCTCCTTCTCATTGTTCCAGTGGTCAACTCTGAAGAAAACACAAAAACAAATCACAAGTTTTATCAGTTCATGCTGGTGTTTCAGCTGCTAATGCAGCGATGATGATGATGATGATGATGATACTCACTCTGCCAGCAGCCAAACACTGAGCACCTCTCCGTCCTCAGATGGAAGAGCCACAGTCCGGATGTCACTCACAGCCTGTTCAATGGTACCTGGCTGAGATCAGCATCACACAGCTGTCAATCATCAGCATCACCTCACAGAATCCAGCTCTGACACGATCCTCTAAGTTCATGTTCAGTATGTGTCGTTTACGTACCCTGAACACGAAGTAGTCCTTTACTTTAGCTTGCATCGTGGGGTTGTGCACGTGAAAAGGCGTGAGGGTTTGCAGTGGGGGGCAGCAGGCCACGGAGGCTGCGTGTCCCAGGCTTCGCCCGGCGGCCTCCGGCGGCGTGAAGGCGACCTCGACCCCCTCCTCGGTCTGTGCGGGGTGGAGAACCGCAGGCCCCGGACTCTCCGGCTCCACCGTGTCGTTCAGCTGAAGCATGGCGGAGGAAACGACGTTTATACACGTCCCTGACTATTCACACAAACTGCTAGAAGAGAAAATGTCTCCCATAGCGAACAAATGTTTTGGTTGTTGGTTGAAGGAATCACTTCCGCTGGTCCTCCTTTCTATTTCCTGCCTCTTAAAGAGACAGTCATCCATAACTGGGTGTATGGCAAGCCATTTTAACATAAAATCGGATTTGTCTGACTAGTTACATGAATTTTGACTAAGAACAATTATAAATTTTGACTATCCACAATGTTAATTTAAGATATCTGCATTTACATTCTGACTAGTCAGAATAACAATTCAAGATATCTCTAAGTTAGTTTTGTCTAGTCATTATTTGCTATCAAGATTTCTGCAATTTAATTTGCTCTGGTCAAATCCTTACATATGATATCTAAAAAGAAATATAAGATATCTTAAATAATGATGTAATTTAAGATATATTTAATTGTAAGTATGACTAGTCAGGACTAAAAGCGAGATATCTTGAAAGCAAATAATGACTAGTCAGAATTAACTTAGATATATCTGTATTTTTGACTAGATAAAATTCATTTTAAGATATTTTGAATTGAAGCCTCCATACAACTTAATGGTAAATCTGACGTCATGTATATTAGTCAGAATGTAATTAGAGATATCTCAAATAAGTATTTTGACTAGTCAAAATATAATTAAATGTATTTTAAATAATGAATATGTCTAGTCATAAATCAATTTCAGATATCTGGAATGTAAGTGTGGTGAATCCAATTTTATGTTAAAATTGCCTGCTCTACCTGGATACGTTTTATATTCCATTAAACTCGTTTCATTCAGTATTATAATGCCTGCTTCTTTCTTTAAATTACACTTTTTCTCTTGATCAGTTTGAATTAGTTTCTATGTGTCGAAAGTTTAAAAACACTCAAATATTGAAAAAGCACATGCACCAACTAAACATGAAGGAATTGATCAAAATTAATTAATTGACTGACATTGACATAGTTAGAGCAACATTTAAATTGAGGTTGATTTTTTTTTTTAAAGCTATAGAAATCAAAATGGACTCTACTTTAAAATGATTGTATTATGTCAGGTAGTATAAAGGCATTATTATAGTAACAAAAAAGGTTGAATCATGTCATCTGGACTTCGTTTTTTTGTTAA